TATAAGATAAATTAACAGCAGTACACATGTATAAGTGTACACACTCGTATATAAACAGGTCTTATATAATATTTTTTGTTATAGTAAAGATTTGTTTCTGTCACATATTCATATTATCTTACATAGCCAAAGCACTTTTAGTTGTGGTGGGAGACAGAAGCCTTAACTAGGTTACCCTGTGCTATGGGTCTCCTGGCTCCCCACTTGGCTTTATTACAAATCAAAGATAATATAAATATTAAATTAGATTAGCGAATTAGATAGCGAAAATTAGATTCAAATCCTAATCTAAAATGTAAACGACACTAATGAATATATATATATATATATAAACACTCACGCCTGTCACCCAGAGGGGTAGGCAGAGATACGATCCTGACATACATCTCTCGCCTCCTCCGCATCCATATACCTACGCATACATGCTCGTCGGTTAAGGATACTCTTAATTTGGCCCATTTATATATATATATATATATATATACATATATATATATATATATATATATATATATATATATATATATATATATATATATATATATATATACGCCAATTTGGTCGACAAACTTTCGCCTAGGACGTCCCTTTCCGACTTTTTCATTCACTTCTGCAACATATATTTGCTTTGTCAGTCTTTCCCCATTCATTCTTTCTACATGACCAAACCACCGAAGCATTCCTTTTTTTATCCTGGTTACCGCATCATCTTGCAAACTATTCTTTTCTTTTATAACACAGTTTCTCACCCTGTCATTCAGATTACGGCCTTTTTTGACACATTCTGACTTTTCACAATAGAGTGTAGAGCCCCATTTACTTTATTTCCTGCATTCACTCGTCGTTCAATATCCTTATCATATCTCCCATCCCTGCTGAATACACATCCCAAATATACGAACTCATCCACTTGCTCAATTATCTCTACTTCTATTCTTATTTCACATACCGTTTTGCTTTCCTCTCTTTCAAAAACCATCACTTTCGTCTTACTTGCGTTCACTTTCATTCCCCTTTAATGGAAATGTATGTTAATTTATGGGCATGTTTGCATAATATGGGCAATAATAGGTGCAAAATGATTTCTTATATTTACGCGAACATTGCACATGATTAAAACTACTTTTACGGATTTTATCGCGTTTATTTTTACTTTTTATTTTTTATTTTTAATTCCCGACGTTTCGGGCGCTTTCCAGCACCCATGGTCCCCCGTGACCATGGGTGCTGGAAACTCCCATATAGTTTTAATCAATAGGTGCAAAATTAAAAAGTAAACTTACTCGTTAAAATCAATTAAAACTAATACTACAATAATAAACGGATTATAATATTATTAAATTGTTGAAATATTAAAATTAATTAATACATTTTTTTTTCATTTTATCATTACAGCCCTTCACAAATCCACTGCTGAACATAGCCTCCCACAAGATATGCCACAAAGCACGGTCCTGAGCCACCTGCATCCATCGACTTCCTGCATGTCTTACCAAGTCGTCACTCCATCTAGTGGAAGGTCGCCCTACACTTCGCCTACCGGTACGAGGCTGCCACTTGAGAACCTTTTAATTTAATAGGTTTTAATACATTAAACCTTTTAATTTAATAGCTTTTAATACATTAAAACCTATTAAATTAAAAGCCTTAATTACTAAACTATTTATGAATCGATTAATAGATTATATCTCGTTAATTTACGTTTATTTTATTTTACCACAAATAATAATTTCGTTTATTGCATAGTTTTCCAGGAAGCGATGCGAATTATGTCAGTTGGCTGAGTGAAACAACTTCCAGAACGAATGTTGAGAAAGTAATGATAAAAGAGTTGCATTACTATACCGGAAATATGTTAAGCTAAGGGTAGTTAAGGGATACCTTGCAGTGTTAAGTTGTCTTTTGCCTTTAAAAATTAAATAAAAATACAAATATATATATAGAAACTTGAATGAAGCCCAAATTTTCCTCTAATTGGATTCAATTCTAACGGTGTAGCTTCCTGGCCTGAAATACAGATAGTTTTTCCTATCGGTATAAATAATATTCATTCATTTTGTTACGCAGGATTTTTAAGAAGATTATCACTTGTCTTGTTGAGATGTCTCGACAGTAGTCGAATGGCGGAATTGAACTGTCGCTGTCGCTTAATTTTAATCATCGACGAGATAAAATCCGACAGAAATCGCTGACTCGGCCATTCTGAAAGAATAAGAGAGGCTCGGGCGCTGAAACCAGCGTACTTGGTAATTCTGGGTGGCTAATGCTCAGTCAGCCGCTTCAGATACCGCTGGATAGATGTAATAGGAAAATACCTGAGTAAACTTGAAGTCAGAGACTGATAGGAGTAGTCGTGGGACAGATTTAGTGGCGTTATTTATTGTCGAAGGCTAACACTCATTTTCGTCGTAATTATTATAATACTCGGTAGAGGCCACGCTGCAGTTGAGGCATGAATGACCGGGAAGGAACCAAAAAGAACACAAATAACTGCTTAAAACTTCTGTGTTTCGTGTGGTGAACGTAGAATACGTTAAGTTAAACAGGAGACCTTTTTTACTGGAAACAATTCATGAAATGTGGTGTGGGTGAAAACGCACCTATATTTTGATTATTAAGCGAGGATAGATGTAGAAATAGAATGTCTATGGGCTACAGCATCCACTTACCATCAGGTGGACTGTGTGCTCGTTTGTACATATACACATATTCTAAAAAAAAAAAAACAGCGCGAAAGCGGAAAACTGACGTGACGAAAACTCACATGATGCAGTGATCAAAATTCGTTATATATAACTCATTTTCATCACTGCGTCATGTGAGTTTAGTTCAACAACAGAGCATATGTCAACGTAATTAAACGTGGTAAAACCACCGCCGCAGTAATATTGCGGTTGCAGCATAAATAGGTCGCCTCTTCACCATAGCTCTCACAGAATACCAACGTGAAACAGCAACTTAATGCTGTTGTGTTTCGTATATGGTGAATGTAGAGAACCAGATACCCTTTTTACTAGAAACGAGGCATTCCATTTTAGTCCTTAAGGATGTGTATGGTTCATAGCAAACACCATCAGATGGAATATTTGCTCGTTTGTAACCCTTATTCTCTTCAAATGGACTCTGGCGTGATATTACTTAATGTTAAGAAAGTTAAAGTTACAGCACATGTCTTCGAAATTTTTTATTTATTTCTCAAACATGCAAGTTTCCTTACGATGTTTTCCTTCATCGCCTTATGATATTACTTATTATTTTTTAGTATTACCGTTGAGTGTCAGCGTGAGCAAATCCACTAAACCAAGTCGTCTTTTTGGTGAAGTAAGTGGTGATAGAGGGAAATTTGTTTAATTTTCATCTAGATAAGTACTATGAATTAATAAAACTAAAACTATTATTTAATTATAACTTCTTTACACCTACATACAAACTGTACAGTGAAATTAAAAATAAGAATACTTATCAACCATATTGCTATAATATCTGTATTCTAATTAAGAAAAGTTTAGATAGTAAGATACACACACAAGTAAAATTTGTAACAAATAAGGGCAAAGGAAAGAAAGTACTTCGTAACACTAATAATATTTACATACATTAAATATATATAATAAACTACCACAAGAAATGAAAATATTAAATAGTTTTAACATCTTTGAAAACAAACTAAAACAAAATATAATGAATAAATTCTAAATCCGACCCTGTCCATATGCCGACCGCTAATCAGCGTTAATCCGTAACGATAAGAAATACCTTACTTACTACCCACTTTATTAACTTGATTCTATAAGATTGGTAACTTGTTCATCAACACACAAATAGATAACAAAGAAGTATTAAGTTGTAAGTCTAAACTAGTAAGAAGTTGTATGTCACGAAACTCTTTCCTTTGTTTTTAATGTTAATATATATATTTATATTTTTTTGCAATCTATATGCTCACAATTCATTTATAACTTGAATATTGTAACTTCTCATTAAGTGAAATGTATACTTCTTTTGAGAATAAAATATCTTTAACCATATAAGTAACAGCATCTGCCTAATATAATCAACTCTGATGAATTTAAAATAATAAAGAAACCGCTCGTTAAAGGTGGCAACTATGGCAAATATCCACACTAAGAGACAATCCATGGTTCTTTTTTTTACGTTCTATAAGGTAGTGTTTGACCACATCCCAACCTGGTGGTAAGTGGTGATGCAGCCTTAGATGGTAAATCGCACTGTCTTAGCGTAACAAAAGCCTATTCACACTTGCCTTGAAGACGCCCAGATTGTATTCGGACGGCAAGATAGACGCCGGTAAATTATTCCACTCCTTTGTTGTACGCATTAAAAATGTGCTAGGCATATGTTTATAATTCCTATAAACGAGGATGTATAACAATATCACAAAACAAAGTGGCTTATCCGCGTCTGCCTTTTTATGTGCTTAAAACTTAGACCATTCCGTAGCGCAGTTCCGTAGAGCTACAGGCCACGAGTTAGAATCCAGCACGTAACAACTATTTGAGTGGTCTACAAATAGTTGTTCCAGGTCTGGATGTCCATGTGTTATTTACGTATATGATACTCCTTTACGATACACGAGAAATGGTTTACTTAAGGTAACGTTCTAATCAAAACTGAAATGTTGAATATTGTAGTAAAACCACTGTCATTTAAATTATTATTTGGAGGGTATGTATTAGTCTATGGTAAAAAATATCAACGTTCTATAATCAAGCTTTAAGAAAAATAACACCACATTGGTGTATTGAATGTATGCGAAACAAGAGATGATCATTAAATCATATTCATGCAATTATATTACATAATTTTCTTATATTATATCTATAATAAACCAATTTTATTTCAATTGTTAAAAAATAATCATTAAAATATTTACATTTATTGCAGCTTAGTTATGCATTCTAAAATTCTTTTGTTTCATTTTTCACTATTGTCTGAGTCCATATTTATTTATTTCTTTTAAACAGAACTTTCTTACTCACCACGGTCTCGTAAGCTTCCTTCCTCATCATCTGAGCGTCGCCAACAAATATGAAAATGCTACACAACAACAATACATAACGTAACGCTATTGCACTCATGTTCGATATCACAGCCCTTTTTATTAAAAAAAAACTGGCTTTTTTTTTTGAGGAAAATATTTTTCGCGCGTTCCGAGAGCGCTCGCGTACGCGCCGCTGTCGAAATGCCGCCCGTTGTCCTGCGGGGCATTATTTACATTATCGTGACATCTTTGCGGTAACGTCTCGATTGTCGCTGATTATCTCTACATGTTTGTTTTCATGAAGGTGCAGTCGATTAGTTGATGTGAATACGAAATAAAACGAAAATTATTATGTTTTTACCTATGAAATAGCTATTTTGTTGAACTGATACTAACTTCAAACTGTAATAAAATTTTTGCAAAAAGGGTTATCATAATATCCAGGAATACATGAATGAAGACAACCCCTGGGGATGAGTTGATCACGGTGGTGATCACCTCATTTATTTTAAAATTCGTCATATATATATAATAAAAATGGTCTCCGGATCTCTACACTCATCACACGGAACACAGCAGTATTAAGCTACTATTATACGCTGGTATTCTGTGAGAGCGTGCTCCTTCTCCGGTCGAGCCGACCCATTTGTGCTACAATTATACTACTAATATAACTGCAGCATGGCTCTACCACGTATAAAATGGTGTGGCCTATGAACACCTACATCTATCGAAAGAATCACAACTCAAATGCACTGTCACCGGTTACTCTTTTCACAGGAAATGACTCTGGGCAACATATAGGCTACTTTTTATCCGACTATGAAAGTGCAAAAAAGGAGGCTATTGCCTTTCCCAGCCTTATTTTTTTAAAGAATAAGGATGGCAAACGAGCACACAGTCCGCATAGTAAGTGAATGCTGTGGCCGATATATATCTATAAAGTTACATTTATACTCGCTTAAGAATCAAAATGCAGAAGCGTTGTCACGCCTTAGTACTAAGATGAAATGCTTCGTTTCCAGTTTAAATAGTCAATGGTTCTCCACACTCACCATACAAAACACAGCAGTATTAAGCTGCTATTTTACGCTGGTATTTTGTGAGAGCGTGGTTGAGGCGAGCCGACCCATTCGTGTTACAACGCTAATATAGCTGCAACGTGGCTCTACCACCTTTCTTATATCGTTATTTTCATGAATAGCCGCTGATGAGCCCATCAGAAAGGCAACGTAGAGTAATTGGGATTATATTCTTATAAATAAAACTCCTTTTTTACTTGATTGATTTATTTATTATGAAACAGAAACAGAAACTGAAACTTTTTTATTCGATGTAGATTATAACAATACTTATTGAAAGTCACTTTTTTAATTTACCACTGGTTCGCAAAAAAAAAACCTCTGTCCTGAGAAGAACCAGCAAGAAACCGAGCGGGACTATTTTTTCCAATAACAGCTACAATCATGTTTACAATTAACAACACAAGACAAATTAGAAATAGCTTGGTAGCGATCACCCTTCCCAGGGGTTATTGTCATCCATAAATTCCTTAATATTATAATAACCCTTTTTATACAAACTTAGTTTAATAACATTTTTGAACTTTGCGTATGACAAATTTTGTATATTTTCTGGGATTTTGTTGTAAAAGCGTATACATCGCCCCAAGAATGAATTACTGACTCGGTGGAGTCGAGTAACTGGTACTACTAGCTTGTGTATGGGTACAGGTCTGCCTATTTGTCCTTGTGAAATTAATGTATGTATACTGCCTCCACGATACAGGAGATAATCCTAGTGTAGAGGTAACGTCAAAACATAATAACAATGATCTCATTGAAATTGTAATAAAGTTCTCACCATCCTAAAAAATGAAAAGATTTTTTTAATGTGAAATTTTACAATATTTGATTTTATTACTTAGACTGGACATTGCGTCTCCTATCAAGATATAATTGTTTTTAGGTGGGCTCTACCAAGTTTAAAACAAATTATTTCATTGGATATAGCACATTTTTGTTAAGTAATAAAATCAAATATTGTAAAATTTCACATTAAAAAATCTTTCATTTTATAGAATGGTGAGAACTTTATTACAATTTCAATGAGATCATTGTTATTATGTTTTATGTTTTGACGTTACCTCTACACTAGGATTATCTCCTGTATCGTGGAGGCAGTATACATACATTAATTTCACAAGGACAAATAGGCAGACCTGTAATATATAATAATATATAAAATAATTTTCTCGCAAACGTCCCAAAAATCGCTTATAATTTTAATTCCTGTGCTTAGTAAAATATTTAATCAGCATATCATCATTCTCTAGACTATTTCCCATTATCTGGGGTCGGCGCAGTAAATCTTCTTGTTCCATTCCTCTCTATCAGCCGTCATTTCCATACTTACTCCTTTCATGCTCATATCACTCTTCACACAATCGATCCATCTTTTATTTGGCCTTCCTCTGCCCGTGTGTCCCTCCACATTCATATTCAACACTCGTTTTGTGACATGACTTTCATCCCTCCGCATCACATGCCCAAACCATGCCAATCTGCTTCCTCTCACCTTTTCTACCACTGGCGCTACTTTCAGGCTTCCTCTTATATACTCATTCCTTATCTTATCCATCCTTGTCACACCACACATCCATCGTAACATTCTCATTTCATTCGCATGCAGTCTATTTTCATCCTTCTTCTTGACGGCCCAGCATTCACTTCCATAAATGACGACAGGTCGGATGATCGATTTGTAAATTTTCCCCTTCAGCCTTATTGGCATTCGGGGATCGCACGTTGTGGCTGTGACCTGTCGCCATTTCATCCACCCTGCGTTAATCCTATGCTGCACAGCTCTATCTATTCCGCCGTCGCCTTGAATGAGGGAACCGAGGTACTTGAATTCTGAGCAGGTAGGCAGTATAGCGCCATCCAACGACATGGGTACAGGACTGGAAAGACCGCCGAAATCACAGCACAGATATTCGGTTTTGGATCTGCTGATCTTCAAGCCAACACTTTCCAGCCTCTGTTGCCACCCCGTCAGTCTGCTCTGTACCTCGATGCCTTCTTCCCCGACAAGCACGATGTCATCGGCAAAGAGCATGCACCAGGGTGCCTCATCCTGCAGGTCCGACGTCAAAGCGTCCATAATCAGTAGGAAGAGGTAAGGGCTCAATGCCGACCCTTGGTGCAGCCCTACCGCCACATCGATACTGCCCGTAGTTCCCGCGGCAGATCGTACACATGTACGGGATGCTCTGTACATAACACGGACTAACCTCACATACTTCCCAGGCATACCTTTCATCTTTAACGCCCACCACAAAACCTCACGGGGAACCCGATCGTACGCCTTTTCAAGGTCGACAAAAACCATGTGCAGATTTTTATGCACGCGCTTGTACTTTTCGCACAATTGGCGTAATGCGAAAATGGCATCTGTCGTACCTCGACCGGGCATGAATCCGAACTGGTTTTGTGTTATCTCACACTCTTCTCTCATTCTTTTCTCTATTATTCTTTCCCAGACTTTCATCGTATGTGACATGAGTTTTATTCCCCGGTAACTGCTGCAGTTTTGAACGTCTCCTTTGTTTTTAAAAATGGGGACCAGTATACTACTGCACCATTCCTCAGGTATTTGTTCTTCCTGCAACAATTTACCGAAAAATAAACTCAACCACTTCCATCCATCCGCACTCAGCAACTTCCACACTTCCACTGGTATTCCATCTGGGCCGACCGCCTTCCCATTCTTCATATTCCTAACAGCCAATTTTACTTCTTCCACACTAATTTCTCTCACTAAGCCCATATTCACTGGTGGGTTTTCAAGCATACCATTCCATTCATTCTCCTCATTCATCAATTTCTCAAAATACTCCTTCCATCGCTTCTTTATACTTTCATCGTCAGTCAAAATCCTTCCAGAATCATCTTTTATACATTTTACATGTGAAACATCTCTTCCATTCCTTTCTCTCGCTTTTGCAATTTGAAAAAGTCGTTTTTGACCTTCGGGGCTTTCAAGGGACCGATATAATTTATCTTGCGCCTCTGCCCTACAAATAGCAACTTCCTTCTTTGCTCTCTTCTTACATTCTTTATACGCCCCTCTCTTACTTTCTTTTATGGAATCATTCTGGTCTTCTACGCTCTGCCATTCTTTAAAGGCATTTTTCTTTTCTCTCAAAAGTTCTCTAATACTTTCACTCCACCACCACCCATCCTTATCTATCATACGCTTCCCTTTTGTTTCTCCTAACACCTTCCTTGCCACACTTCGGATACAATCAGCCATTTCCTTCCAGCACTCATTCACACTCATTCCTTCCATATCACCCATCTCTATCATCTTGTTTACAACTAGCTCTCTAAATTCACTTGCATACTCCTCCTTATGCAACAAATGCCACTTTATTTTGGGTGGGGGACGATCCTTATGTTTGTTGAGGCGAACAGTTAAGCAGATATCAGCCAGCAGAATTCGGTGCTGGGATACTAAGTCTTCACCTGGAAGCACTTTGCAGTTTTTTACACTCTTGATTTGGTTCCGTCTTATCAGAAGATAGTCGATCTGTGTCGCGTGGTGGCCACTTTTATAAGTAACAAGATGCTGATCTCGTTTTTGGAACCACGTGTTTACTACAGCCAGGTCGAAAGCACATGCTGCTTGCAGAAGAACTTCCCCCCTCACGGTTCCGCACTCCGTACCCCCATCCACCGTGTACTCTTTCATACCCGTCATTCACTCTCCCTACATGTCCATTAAAATCTCCTCCCATATAAACATCCTCACTCTCAGGTATTCCCATCATCATACAAATCAAATTCCTCCCAAAACTTCTCTTTCACACTCTCTTCACAGCCTGTTTGCGGAGCATACACACTTACAACATTCACTACTTTGTTTTCAATCATTAATTTAACAACTATCATTCTGTCATTTACTCTTTTCACATCTGTCACTCGTTCTTTCATTCCACTATCTAACACAACTCCTACTCCATTTCGC